CTTGTGATTGTATATTGTAAAAGTATGAACGTATACTGTGTTTGTGATGTGTTCTGTTGTCTTTTTGTAGGATTTTGTAGACCAGGCACCTGCACTTCAGTCTAGTGTTGGTGGGGAACAACCTGACAATGTTAACACGGTATGTAGCATAATATTTATGACTTCTACTTATGTATGATTATGTATAATGTGGTTGTGTGTGTGTGTGTGTTTGGGCGCAACCAGGTATTAGACTATGTCTTGTGATTGATTCACTTATAAAAAAACATACAAAGCTCAATAGACCATGTTTTCATGTGCCCAAACTTTTATAAATCTGCCTCATAAGTTGTGTTTGTAACTCTAGCAAGCACATTTAATGGTAATAGTAATGTGCATTAGCTAAGTAGCTCAGTCTGGTATGTTAAATTCACACACTCCTCACTTAATTATCGAGGTCCATTCCAATGACTAGGTCTTTAAGCAAATTGGTTGATAAGCGACAAGCCACCCCTTTCTGATATTTCAGGCATATTTATATTTATAAATGTTTATGCAGTAGTGTACTGTGTACTGTAATAATCTCTTATCTAGCATAGCAAAGCTACAACAAGCTGGCCAATAACTGCTAATGTTAATCATCAGCAGAATAACAAATAAATGATATGAAACCAGTAAAAACTTACACCATTGCTTTTAAATATTTATGAAAAGTTCAAGCTTACGTGCGTCCATGTTTTATGTGCTACTGGAGGTTTCCTACCTGACAGTACAAAGTATATTCATCAAACTAAAGGCAACACATCAGAATAAGTCATATATCAGAAAGCAGAATACACAGAACAGAATACAAATGCGCACTGCCGTTTCCATGACCAAAGTTCTCATACAGTGTACAATACTGACTGGTCAGAGAGCTGGTCCTAAGTCCATGTGGAGTGAGGAGTGTCTGTAATGGTTTCAAATACATTTTCTTGGAGGGTGCATCTCCAGGAGAGGGACTGGATTTTAATACTTTTTAATACTTTTTTTCCAAACTGCTTATCTTAAGGAGTACAGGCATGGCACCTGAGTCTATGTTGTGGGATTCTACAGTAGGCATTAGCATTGAGTAGCGAGTCATATGGCATTAACCCCTGCTCCTGCAGTCCTAATAAAACTGCCGAAGAGGTACGAAAGTATTTGGCTATGTATTTGTTGTCTTGAGCTATATTATGTTGCAACAGAGGCAGAAAAAGTTCTGCACAACATTGTTACTGTTCGGAATCAGAGTAAGACTATTAAATATTCAATTCCTGATGAAGTCCCAGCTCCATGGTCTGTTAGAATTCCATTTGGGAAGAGTATCCATGTTCCTCCTCTGTAGAATTTTCCTTCCTGGCCAAAGACAGTCTAGGATGATTGGTCATGCTGTATTTCCTATAGGTATCCTGTAGGTGGGTTACCTTGTCTGTGACCAGCCATGGGTGTAATTTCCTGTTCACAGTGCTAGTAAAGATAGACAGTTGGTCCTCTGCTACGCTGTGAGTGAATTTCAGTATGCACTAGTATGGAGAGGTCCTGCTGCTTTCTGTGCACTCATAGTATTTAGTTATTGTTGCTCTACTAAAGATATTTGTACTGTAGATACATTATCATTTTCATTTAATTACCAATATTATTCTCCCCCCAGATTAAAACTAGACATAAACATAGACTGGAGCATCTCTGAAGTTTCCATAACAACAAATTGCAGCACTATACCAATGTAATATGTTAACCTTTTGGGGTCGGCGGTCCCGCTGGTGGGACCTGACAGAAATTTCACCAAACCGTTTAAATAACTCTGTGAGTTTTTGTCATATAAAAAACACCCTCAGAAACCTTGGACGATCTATTTTTCAAATATATATATAGGTAAAAACTAAATATATTTTTACAGCTTCGTGATA